TCGATTGAATGGCACTTGCTAATATAGCACCTAATGCACCATAGGGATGAAAGTTAGGTTCGGCAAAAACGGCAATAATTGGTTTACGTTTATCTTTAGCATAATTAATAGCTTCCATACAAAAGGAAGTTCTCTGATAGAGTCGACTAATGACAACAACAAATACATCACACCATTGAATAGCATTGGCTCTTGCATTCAATGAATGTGGTTTACTTTCATTTAATATATCACATGATAGAGACTGATCCAATAATCCTTGTTTCAATCTTTCACTAATCGTTTGTTGAGATGTGTGACTAGCAATAAGAATTTGAATTTTATTTGTATTTGAAACTACATAAAGAAAAATATGAGATGAATATTAATGATAAGTGACAAATTCAACAAATTACCTGCAGTAGTTTGTGATGTATCAAGATTCAACAGTGTTGTATTTGGTATCATAGCAACAGAATTTACGTCAATCGATGTATGTACAATGCTATTATTTGACGTCCCACAACCCATAAAGAATTTCTTACTTGATGCAAATAAATAAAGTGGGGCAAAGAATGGAGAAAAAGAAAAAAATTAAAAAAAAAGACTTTTCTCCTTTTTTTTCTTTTTTCCTGCATTTTATTTTCATATTTGCAAGGTAAAAAGTTGGTGAGAGTATTTATTTGTCGTCAGACTGCTTTTTTCTTATACAATTTATTATTACTAATGATCAATTTTTATACTGAATATTAAATCAAACTCGAGATTACATCCAATAGAAAAGCATGAGAATGAGGATTTAATTAATTATATGATCTATTAAAAACTCATAATCAGAGTTGCATATATATATCATCAAAATTATCTTTGATAGAGAAAAATATGCTTTAAAAATCTAATAAATATATTAATAATTATAGTGAAAAATATAAACTTCTTTATACTATTTATCTTCTCCGTCCTTCTCATTATTGTTGGTTTCCCATATACGTGCAACAATTTCTTGTAGATAATCTGTATAAGAAAGATATCTACCTCTTAGCCATACTAATGTACGATATTGATTAGAATTCTTTTTGTTTGTACGTTTTGGTCGCATAGGTCGTAGATTATCTTTCGTTGAATTACTTGTAAGTGCTGTCCATGTCCATGTTTGTCCTTCATCATTTGTTTTACCACAAAAGAGTTCATAGTGTCGTTGTTCATCACTATGACTGATAAGTGGATTTCCATTGACTGGATCACTGTTAGTTGATATATAGACTATGGATGGATCGTCAGGTTCAATTGCAGCTAAACCACTATAATCATCTTCACCTCCATAAAGACGACAACCAGCATAAGCCAGTGGATAATTATGCCACATAGAACCATCCCATCGTGCATATCTATATCGTAAATCATCACCACCTTGACCAACAGGAAGACCTTCTGAATTATATTGAACACTGTAAATAGATACAGGATAATCATTATGATCTAAAACAAGATCTACGATCCATGTAACATGTTGTGCATCACCTTGATAAATTTGTGTACCTTGATCAGGTGAATCAAGTCCAACTTTTAATGAACATAATTTTATACCATCCGAACGATATAATTGTCCAGCTCGATAATAAATATGATATAAACTATTATCATAATCACGAGGATGTCCTTCTGTATATACCATATGTATTGTATCACGTTCATTTGATATAAATCGTACATAGGGTCGATGTTTTTGTGTTGATGGAACATTAATATAAATATTACCATTATGCCAAGTTGTTCCAAGATCATCTGAATAAAGATACGATGGTTTGAATGAACCATCAAGACCTCGAAAAAAGTTATAAATACGATTCGATTCATCTGGAAGAAGAAATAGATTTGCATATGTAAGTTCAGTGGTCAACGATGGTGTATAAAGTTGAACTGGAGTGAATTCACGAAATGGTGTTGTATCATCAAGAGAAATGCGTAAATAATTATGTGATTCTGTATTATGTTTTGCATAAAGAACTAACAATCGATTATCAGGTCTCATAAGTAGAGCAGGACCATTATGATCATCTAATTCAAATTGTTCATGTAATATTACACGCTCTGTAATTTGTGATGAACAATCATGAATATGTAATTCGATATTACCACGACGATTTTCATTGTTACCACCAGATGCAACTGATCCTATCAAAATAAGAGAACCGTGTTGTAGAGCACCAGGCGATTCAAACCAACACCAACCACCATCATTACTTAATATAATTGTTTTACTAGTGTTATCGGTGGACATACTCGTTTTTTACGTTCTTACAATGATATCGGAGATATTGCTAATTAATAGAATGAGTCGAAACGTTAAAAAAAAGATCAAAAGAAGGAATGACGAAATTTTATTGTGTAATAAAGTAAACCGTTGTATTATGGTGTAACGCAAATGACAGTTACTTTTTCTAGTCAACAACATTATTTTATCTATAAAAGAAAAGATAAAGTAACTCAACAGAATTTGTTGAATAGATAAATATTTCAAATTAAAAACGCGTACGTTTGTGCATATATCAGTTGAAATAGAATCACCATCTTGAAGGTAATGATGGATGTTCTCTACGTTTTTCTTATTCTCGCACTCTCATATAGCCACCAATAGTCTAATCGAATCAGTAGTAATTTTATAATGTATTCTTTCTGTATGTTATGATATAAGAGCAAGGGAACATTTTTATATCCTTTTCAAAATCGTTATTTTCACGTGATATTTATCAGTTTAATGAGTCATTTCAGCTATTCGTCTTCCTTTTGTTTTTCATCCTTGCACTGAAAAACATCGTACTGTCTTTCGTTATATATTTTTCATCAAATAATATTTTGAATCAAATCATTCGATCATGGAATATTTACCCGACGAATTATTCTTAATTATCTTTTGTTATTTATCTAAACTTGATATTGTTTGTACATTCAATAATCTCAATCATCGTTTTCAACAATTAACTAGCCCATACCTGTTCAATATTGATTTTACACAGAAAAATAATATCAACTATCGAACTATCTATTCATTTATCAACGAAATTCTACCATCACAAGGTCACCAGATTCGAATTTTAACACTTCAAATAGGCCAACAACAACGATTATTTCAATCTCATATACATCAATTAACAAATCTTACATGTCTAACGTTAAAATCAGATGAAGCTTACAAACTCAACTCTACTGATGAGCTTTATCAATTTCTCGCAAATATTTTATCTCTTAAAACTTTAAATAAACTTTCAATTTCCAAAGGAAGAAAAGCCTTGAAAGCAATAACCACTTTTGCATCACGTAATTTGACTCATTTAATTCTATTACAATCTCGCGATCTTTCATATCTCAACTGCAATTCAACAATGCCTTTTATTAAACGTCTTTCAGTAAATTTAACGTTTGAAACAATACCGAAATTATTTCAAATTATGACAAATCTGAAAGAATTGAAATTAATATTATATATTAAATATTGCTTTCATTACCATTGCCGCAATCTAAAAGTACCAGAAACACTTGAAAAATTACATTTAGAATTCAAAAATCGAAGTCGATATCTCTATTCTCCTTATCGTATTCAAGAAATTGTGGATCTTTTTAAAAATAATTTGAAATGTATGACACTTATTTGCGGCCCTTTTCCGAACGAATATCGTAAATACTATGATGAACTTCAAAGTTTCGTAAATAGCTTCATTCGTATTGAAAATTTTCAATATCATATACGAACAACACATCAACCTGATATTCGCTTTTCAAATATTAAAAAGTGTTTTGACTCTTATTTTTGTTTTGGTACTTTTCCACAATCTAATATATGTGACAGTATATCTAGTCGAACAACATCTGAATTTAGTTTGTGGCCAGATCGTACGCCGGAAGAATTACTTACATGTTCTAAATTGTATATTACCAGAAACCGTCATCTTCCTTCTATACTTCTATCAAAATTTGAATCAAGAAACGATCTGAGACTTTTAAATTTAAATGAAATACGCTTTCATCATAACATTGAAGATATTCCATCAACAACACTCCAATTACTATCTAAATTAATTACTCTATCACCTAACTTACAAACTTTATTTATTATGAGTAGTTGTACACAAAAAATGATTCAATATTTAAAACAAATATTTTCAAATTAGTTTGAATGTAGAATTTCAAATTAAATGGATTGATGATGATAATTATTATCATTCAATGTTTTTCTATGAATTATCAGAAATCTTTACTAATCTACACACTCTTACATTTCAATGTATTCCAAAATTTATTCAAGAATATCCAATAACATTGAATAATTTCATTTTAAATCTACGAAAGGATTTTCTTCAACTTACTCATTTCAAATTACGACTGACGCTCATTGATAATTATCCACAACAAACTTTACATGCTAACACAGAAGATTTGAAAGAATTAATGTTACAAAATTCTTTGTACTATACGGTTGAACGAGAAAGATGGGGTCGTGTCTTAAATATTTGGTTATAATAATGACTATCATATATATTTATCATTAATATTTCTCCAGTAGATATGATCATCAATCGATTAGTTTAGCCTTTTTTTCCTCACATACAAATTAATAATTTTCTCTTCTATAAATAAATATTAAAATAAAATATAAATCCAAGAATATTCGTATTCTTATTTTATTAGATTTAAGATATTTAGAAAAAAACGTGACCTGTGTTCGATTGAAAATGTGCATGTGAAAAAATATTAAACAGTTCGAATCGATTTGTAAAGGATAGATGCAGGTGCAGTAATGGACCGTACTCATTGATTTATTTATCAGTCATAGTCACATACTTTATCTCGCAGACATTCACACTCTGCATGTCTCATACGAAAACATCCGATGAAACTTTATATATGCTCTTAGAAATAATATTCAAACTCAGACAATTATGACCTTAGATTAAGGTTACAGATGCACATGTGACTATCCAGAATGCCTTATACTTTATTCACTCGTCGCTTATACTGGCTTAACTGGAATTAGGTTACTTTTTACTGCGACTATTGATATTAATTTATCTTTCTTTCTGAAAAGAAAATGAAATAATCGGATGATCGAAGTGAAAAACAGCATGTGTCGTTTGAAAAATATCATCATATGACAAGTTAAACCGAAGCGCAGCTTAAAGTATAAAAGGTACTAGAAAACTATACTTTATTCAATTGATTTTAATATAAAATAACTTTAAATATGCGTCTCTTGGTGTTATGCGCTTGTCTTATTCTTGCTATTGCTTTTGTGTACAGTAAACCTATCATTTCTCAAATGAATAAATTCAATGCAATCATTACAACATCGTCTTCGTTACAGGTAAATCATTTTAAGCTATCGATTATATATGAAATTCGGATATTTTTTTAAATAGATTTTGAACGATCAATTCAATAATATTGCTGGTCAAATTATTGATGTCCTGTCACCAATCGAATTGCAAATACTACAACAAAAAGCCGTTCAACTGGCTGTGAATGTTTATAATGGTAAAGTTGATAGTATTACAGCTGCTGATCAACTACTGCAACATCTTGAAGAATATCTTGGCTCAAATTTACAAGTTTTTAGTACCGTCAAACCTCTTGTTCAACAATTAACTGAGGCTGTTATTCTAGTTGTACCTATTTTACCATCAAATACTGGAAAACATGAAGTGTCTGGTGTCCATACTAGCCTCAATGATCTTCTTGTATTACTCGATCAATTGCAACTTCATACTTGGAATGCTGTTATTGCTGTATTTCCAAAATATTCAGTAATTTCAGTTTACTATTTAATATAATCTTAAATTTGATTTATTTAATTCATCATAGGATTTAGTTAATCAACTCGTCGATGCCATTGATCAAATTACGAATGCCTTCTCATCACCACAATTGAACTCACTTGCACAGCAAATTATTTATCTAGCTCTCGATGTCTATGATGAGAAAGTTGGCATATATGTGGCCGCTGATCAACTATTCCTACAAGTTAAACAATATCTTGGTTCAAATGCAAAACTTTTTAGCAATATCCAATTTTTTGCTCAGCAGTTAATTGATGCTATTATTCTAGTTGTACCTATTTTACCATCAAATAATGAAAAACGTGAAACATCTGCTGCTCATGTTAATGGTTTTGCAGTAGTGCCTGTCTCTCAATAAAAACTGTTTAAAAAATAAATATGTAAATATGTAATCATGAAGAAGCTGTTTTGATTTTTTCCTGAAGAATTGTTTTTTTTTTAAATAATTCGATTAAAATCAGTTTTAATGTCATAATCATTTTGAAAAGAATCCTTTCTTCTTGTAGATTTGCACAATGAATAATCAAGTTAGAAACTAGATTTACGTTCAAAATCGATTATGATAATTGAAATCTGAAAGCACATCGAATTTTATTCAGAGCTTTCAAGTGATCTTCATTGATTCAGGTTTATATCTAACGTGAAAAGTAATGTTACTAGTTTGTCTGAATTCAAAGTCTTAAAGACCCAACTATCATTTCATACTGCCTTCGTGCTAAATGAATCTTTAAATGGTTCTATGTGATTATGAGTATGGATGTGGGTGCGGATGAAAGATATTTAAACAGAACACTAAACCCACTTACACCTTGTCGATACTTATAGTAACCTGCACACATACTCAAATTTCAGTTGAAAGTTGTGTGAATCAGTTGTTTTCATAGTTTCGAATTACTTTTGTTTGCAAATAATAATAAAAATCTTCGAAAAAGCCATCGTCTGCAAGAAGAAATATTTATCAACAGTGTTTACCTCATTCTTATATTTCAGTGTATCGGAGTTTTTTGCAATAATATCGCATTTATAATCAATAAATATGTATATGGAAGGAAGTAGTTGAAGGGTTGTGTGAATTTGGGTGTGGGTGTGAATGTCCAATATTCATTTATGCTTATATCTATATTCTCAACTCTTGAGGGTGTGGGTGTGGGTGTGGCGGGTGTGGGTGTGGGTGTAAAGAAAGCGGCGATACACGTCTATATCTACACCCACACCCTCAAGATTTTGTAGCTACTGTTCATTTTAAAGATATTATGTCTCATTTAGATGAAGAGTATTAACATACATTAATCGTCGATACACTTGCTCTAGTACTTCTGTATTATTTTGTTTTAATAGATTTATTTTAGATGATTTTATTATTAATAGATTACAAAAGATTTACTTCGTGAAATGATGACTCGTAATCATAGACGTATTGTTAATGTTGTTAGTAGTGGAATATTGAGTAGAAATGCTTTTAGTTCATTATATTCATCTTCGACAGCATCTTTATTCAGTAAGTTCTTGTTTTCATGAACTGATCTTAGTTTTAGTTTCGTTTTTATTTTGCAAAACTAATTGATAGGTTTTGATGGAAACATTTAGTCAACAATTAATTCTTTCTAAAGCAAGTAGTGTTCAAACTATAATTATTTTACCATTTTACCTTGATGATAAAATTTATACAACATTACGTACATAGTAAATTATTATTTAAAGTAGTTAGACTTTATTATAAAAAAAATTTTTTGCTTAGTACGAAAAAGAAAGTTTCATTACATTGTCTTGTTTTTTTTAGATTGATTTATATATATATCTTAATTTATAATGGCAGCAGAAGCAGGTGTGCCAATACCAGAAGAAGGTGTGCCGATACGATTGTACCATCTTGGGAAAATATTCATCAAATTGTCCAATAAGATTCAACAAAACAAACTTCAAGGACCATATCTACTTAAATCTGAAATACATACGTATAATCCGAATGCACCAAAACATGAACAAAAACGTCTTGCTCATAAATGAGAGAAGGAATTGCCAGATATACCACATGAAATGGACCTGCTATTAAATGTACGTCTTAAGTATACTGCTGATCGTTACCGTTTGCAACTCATAATTCTCGATTATAATGGTAAAGCATTAATTTGTCATCAACCCATTATGTTAACACCGTATGGTATAGTTGATACGATTTTATCAAAAGCTCAAAATACTTTTAAGATGCAAAATGATGACGGTCGTGTACAAGATAATTGATGAAAAAACACCAGATAATATTCAAGCACAAGAAGAAAAACATGATGATAATTACGTAGGTGAAGTAGCCATCCGATTCGAGTATTTCTCCCGGCGATTCGCCTGTGGTGCGTTCCAGAGGGTTCCAGACGAGTTTCCGATGTAACTCGACGAGCTCTATCGAATGGTGAAATCAGAATTGCGATAGCTCAAAGTATACCCCTCAAAATCCCAAAATACCAGGTTTTTGGTACATGATATAAGGGTTCTGAGAAGTATTTTCACCGGCGATTCGCCCGTGATGCGTTTCACAGCGTTTCAGACGAGTTCTAAGCACAATGCAACGAGCTCGTCTGGAACGCTTTGGAACGCATCATAGGCGAATCGTCGGTGCAAATACTCGAATCGGGTGGCTACTTCACCTACGTATGATAATTATAATTTTTACTTTAACGTTTTTATCTAATTATACTTTTTTATGTTTGAATAAAAATATATCTGGTGATATTTATTATTATCGATAAAAAAGATTCTTTTTATTTTTGAAAGTTATATATGAAACAGACAATTTTTCTCGATGCATAATTACCAAAAATATTCTTTTATCTTGGGAGATATGTTCGAGGTTAATCATTTTTGCAATCAAGATGTTAGGCCCTCATTAATTTTCTTCTTTTCTATTTTATTTTTCTTATCTTTTTTTCTTTATGAAATCCATAATAGTTAGTTGGATCTGTAATATATTTATATATATTTATCTCTACGTCGACATTCATTTATATGCAATTTTCAATCGTTGTATTAATATAATAATAAGCATAACAACTGACTTTTTTTCGTATCTCTTTAAATTTATAACTGACGACTAATTCGACGTGGCTGAGAACAAATAATTCGACATTGACTTGCTTTATTTTTTAAAATATAATCATCAAGAATAAATTGTGCTGTTTGTGTTGTTTTACCTTAAAAGAAAACCTAATTTATGATTTATTTCTTCAAAATCAGTTAACGTGATCCAGTTTCTCCAACAAGAATAAATATTTGATTTTGTTCAATCGTATCAAGAATTTTTTGACGATAATCCGTTTATAGGTAAACGATATCATTTTGTATATAATATTTGATATAATGATGAATGTTGTTTCTTTTGTAAATCACGTGGTAAATATTTATCAATATTTGGATTACGATCAAGTAGTTCAAAATAGTGAAATAAACTATAGAGTTTTTCAAATTGAATAACCAGTGGTTTATCCAGCGGGGGGGGCACGGGGCTTTTTGCCCCCTCGGAGGGTGCTCCTGCCCCCCCCGGAATTCAGAAAAAATACGCTTTTTGAGTCTGAAGCTCTACGTTTGCCCCCTCAGAAGAGAGATTTTTGCCCCCCCCGGCAGTTAATTTCGCACCCTCGGACGAAAAAAGCTGGATAAAACACTGTGAATAACATCTTCAGCGTGAGCAATAGAAAGATTATCTTCTTTATTATTATCAATATTTGATGGAGATTCTTTCAAATTTTTTCACGGTTGATGTTGATGATTAAATAATTGACGAACTTCAGTAACACCTTGAATTCCATGCTGAGATGATTTAATTGTTGCTAATGGCTGTGATGGAAGTGAACGAGAATTTGATGATGTTTCAGGAGGATTTGTAGATTATTGGTGCTGAGCATGTCATAAACCAATAGCTTTATCATGAAGATGAGATGGGTAATGATTAGAAGGGTGTGGGTGTGGGTGTGAGTATCCAATATTCATTTACACCTATATCTATATCCTCAACTAGTATGGGTGTGGGTGTGGATGAAAGATATTCAAGCAGAACACTAAACCCACTTACACCTTGTCGATACATATATTAACCTGCATACATACTCAAATTTCAGTTGAAAGCTGTATGAATCAGTTGTTTTCATAGTTTCGAATTACTTTTATTTGCAAATAATAAAAAGAATTCTTCGAAAAAACCATCGTCTGGAAGAAAAAATAATTACCAACAGCGTTTACCTCATTCTTATGTTTCAGTGTATCGAATTTTTTCCAACACTATTGTTTTTACACCTATCACCTATATGGAAGGTGGGTGTCAGTATCCAATATTCATTTACGCCTATATCTATATCTTCAACTATTATGGATGTGGGTGTGAATGAAAGTTGTTTAAACAGAACACTCAACTCACCCACATCTTGACGATACTCATATCTACGCGTAGGCATACTGAAGTTTCAGTTGAAGGCTGTAATCAGTTGCGTTCTTAGTTTCGAATTACTTTTGTTTGCAAATGATAAAACAATTCTTCGAAAAGACCATCGTCTGCAAGAAGAAATATTTACCAACAGCTTTTAACTCATTCTTATTTTTAAGTGTATTGAAGATTTTTCCAAGAATATCGCATTTACAATCATTAAGGGTGTGGGTGGATGGGTGAGGGTGGGTGCGGGTGTGGGTGGGTGTGGGTGTCCAATATTCATTTACACCTATATCTATATCCTCAACTAGTATGAGTGTGGGTGTGGTTGAAAGATATTTAAGCAGAACACTAAACCCACTTACACCTTGTCGATACTTATATTAACCTGCATACATACTCAAATTTCAGTTGAAAGCTGTATGAATCAGTTGTTTTCATAGTTTCGAATTACTTTTATTTGCAAATAATAAAAAGAATTCTCCGAAAGGGCCATCGTCTGGAAGAAGAAATACTTACCAACAGCTTTTGACTTATTCTTATGTTTCAGTGTATCGAATTTTTTCCAAAACTATTGTTTTCACAACTATCACCTATATGTAAGGTGGGCGTGGGTGTCAGTGTGTGGGTGTGAGTGTGAGTATCCAATATTCATTTACGCCTATATCTATATCTTCAACTATTATGGGTGTGGGTGTGGATGAAAAATGTTTAAACAGAACACTAAACCCACTTACATCTAGTCGATACTTTTATTAACCTGCATACATACTCAAATTTTCGTTGAAAGCTGTAATCAGTTGTGTTCTTAGTTTTGAATTACTTTTGTTTGCAAATGATAAAGCAAATTCTTCGAAAAGGCTATCGTCTGCAAGAAAAAATACTTATCAACATTTTTTAACTCATTTTTATTTTTAGATCTGTTTAATTTTTTCCAACAATATTGCATTTGCAATCATTACATATGTATATGGTAGGAAGTAGTTGAAGTGTTACAGTGGGTAAAGTGTCATGTTTTTATCGTTTGTTATCCAATAGAAAAATACATAAAAGTCTTTAAAACGTCTATGGGCCCACGCAAAGATAATACTATCGCTTCGCCGATGTATATATATATGCATGAAGCGAACCATTATTCTTCATTTCATGTCGTTAGAATAAAATCAGAAGTAAATAAAGGTAGGTCGATAATAACCCGCTGCATTGCTTTATAATAATACTATTGATCATTTTATTGTTGTATAGATACACAGAAAAATCGAATTTTTTCTTTAAACAACCAATCTTCAAGTATCGAATAAGGTAATATATTTTTTAGATTGATATTTTTATGGTAAATCTCTTTTTCATATGGATTTCACGTGAATAAAAGATTGTTTGCCTTCATCTATCAAAATCTCTATTTTTAATCTACTCTTGAGGATGTTGGTGTAGATAATATACTGTCCTTATTCTAATCCATGTCCTCAGCTACAATCGCACTCTTTTAAGATTTCTCAATGAGAAGAGTCATAGGATTATTAACAATTACTTATCAATTATTTCCTCATGTATTTTTCCTATGATAAGAAACATTTTTATTTAGGTTTTTGGTTATGCGGACAAAAATGCTGCGACTATTCATCTTCATTAGTATTCTTGTGTGCTCATCAAGCAGTCTACCATTAAGTGATTTCTTTCCTTTTGGACCTGAAATAGGAGATTCAACTGTACCAACAAATGATGATGAAAGTGTTGGTCCTCTAGGTTTACCACACATATTTCCTTATTTTGATAACAATCACCGACAAATTTGGGTAGCTAATAATGGTCTTTTTTCATTTCTTTCGGCGATCCCTCAATTTACTCCTGAACCGTTTCCATTAGCAAACGATCAACGACTGGTAACCGGTTTCTGGGCTGATATTGATACTCGAGGTGCAGTGAGCGGCATTGGTAACAAAGTTTATTATCACATTTACACAGATGTATCTTTAACAGATACTACTACGGAGGTATTTACTAAAGCAAGTGGCTATGTACGAAGTTTCTTTCCTCAACAACGCCCATTCGAACCTACAATGGTTATTACGGGTACTTGGTATCGTGTAGGGGCTTACTCAGGGAAAACAGATCGATTAAATACATTTCAAATTGTATTAGCTACTGATGAAGATCGTAGTTTTGTCTTTATACTTTACAATGATTTACAATGGGCTGGAACATCATATACCTCGGAACCTTACGCTCAAGCAGGTTTCAATGCTGGTGATGGAATTGCTTTCGAAATGCTTCCGTATTCACGTACACAAGATATTGTTAAATTAGTTAATGTTAGCAATGTTAATGTTCCTGGTCTATTTGTTTTTCGTGTTGATACTGATGAAATTGATGCTGGTGGATGTAGTACTAATATATCTGTAGCTACTGTTCGTCCACGTGTTAGCTCGCAACTTGGTTCTACGGCAATCAATCTTCAAGGACCTTGTTTCGATAATGTAACAATACCTAAATGTCAATTTGGTTCATCATCACAAGTTGTCGATGGTATCATACTTGATGACTTTCGAGCCATATGTTTAACACCACTTGCACCTGTGCATGGTCCCGTAGCAGTCAGCCTATCGATTGACAATGGTGCTACATATATTCCAGCTGGTACTTTTACATATGCTCCATTAAAATTTGGTTCTGACGATGTGATTATTGAAATGAATAACGAAGATAATTTACTCAATCTTGGACAATATGTTACTCTTAAATGGCGTTTTTCAGAATCAATACAAAATACATTTCCAAATGAAACTATGATTGACATTGAATTATGGAAAATAACTCTTAATGATCGATCACAATTACAACAGGACAATTCACCTGTAATACTTGCACAAGATTTACAATCCGCATCTACTTCGCTTCGTCTTCAACTGCCTGAAAATATCCAATCAATCACAACATGCTTTATTCGAGTAGTGGCTCGTTCTGAATCAAAAAAATATGCTGGACTCAATACTGGTGTGCTCGTCGTACGCAGTCCGTCTGCATTTGCTTCTGAATCGTGTGTTGAATGGTCTCATCGACAACCGGAACCATCAACATGGAACGGCGGTAGTCTTCTTCCTTGCCCAATGACACGCACTCAAGCTGTAGCTGGTGGTCGTTGCTGTTATGAATCTGATAGTCAATGTTATCGGGGTAATCCTTTGTTAAACAATTGCTGGCTTCATCAAGCCCGTCCTCAATACGATGAACAATCGGCTGTCGAATGTTATATAACGAAAGGTTCCAATCAGCATGGTGCTGGAGCTGAATGTTGTTACGATATTGAAGGACAATTAATCACACGTGGTACAGGAGCAGGTACCGATGATCGATATCAACCTGTATCATCACCTGTTCAACATTTCTTCGATGATACTGTACCTTATTTACAATGTTGTATGATGAGTTCTAGTCCTGACTTATGCAGTACATATATGCGTTATCGACCACCACGAAGAGGTAGTAATACAATGGGTGAAAATGGTGGTACATGGGGTGATCCTCATTTTACTACCCTCGATGGTACATCTTATACTTTCAATGGTTATGGAGAATATACTTATTTAGCTATTAGTGAGAACATTTCTCCACCAGGAGAATTTAATCCTTTGAGTCAAAACTTTACATTTATGTCACAAATACGTACTGTTCCACTCCCATCAAATGATGTTACTGTGACCAAAGGCTTTGCTGCTCGATCAAATAGTCCTGAAAGTCAATTAGTAAGTGTAATTGTTTCTCGTCGTGAAAATCCTGTTATACGTCGTGGCAATGAAATTCTTCAATTCGATGATAATATCGATACACTTTTTTTTCCTGAAATGACTATCGAAAGAAATTTAACGGATCGTAATGTGCTTATTCTCTCATGGACAGTAGGTGTAACCATTCAAATAAATTTCATTCAAATAACATCACCAACAACAACACTCGTACTCAATGTTGCTGCTTCTGTAGCTGGTATATATCGTGGACGAACATACGGTTTATTAGGTACTTATGATGGTCAAGCTTCGAATGATTTACGAGCTCAAAACGGACAAATAATAAACGCTGATAGTTCACTTGAGCAGATCCATAGACAATTCGGTGTGACTTGGTCAATTGATCCAATCACTTCTTTATTTCATTATGAAACCGATCAGTCAGCGATATTTTTTCATGAAAAAAATCAATTATTTACACCATCATTTATTGAACCAAGCAATTCGCAAGCAGAAGATGCATCTATTCGACATGCATGTAACATCGACCCTAGTTCTCTACCAGCTTCATGGAATATTGCTCAGCGTACATGTTACTATGATATATCTGTAACAAAAGATGAATCTTTTGGTCAAACATCATTAAATGCTGGTAATGAAATGTTATCAATTAAAGCTGATCAACGAAATCCACCTCTTTTCGATATTACACTTCCTGTTCACAAGGAAGCTAAAAAGGGAGATAAAATTCAACTGAAAATAGTTGCTTCAAGTGAATATCCATCAAGTGTTATTCAATTATCTGCAATCCATTTACCTCGAGATGCTAAATTCAATGTACAAACTGGTATGTTCGAATGGACAGCGATTGAAGGTACTGAACATGTTCGAATTCGAGCATTTGATATGACATATAACTTAACAGCAACACATGAAATTGTCTTCGAAGTGGGACGAACCAATTACAGTCCTACTCAGTTTGAAGTGAAAATTTTACTTTTTTTTACTGCTTTCTTATTTGCTTTTCTTTCTAAATGAAAAAAATAATATACTATCTACTTAATTATACTCCTGACATATTAATTCTTATTCTTGTATGTACTTTGGAAAAATTATAATAATAAATATTCTATCAATACATTAGTTTTTTTTGTTTTGCTTTTGTCTCTTGTCATTCATTCCCTATGTCATACAAAAAAAGAACATTATTTTTGCCACTAGACCAGTTCAATACATGGAAAAACTAAATTCCTTTTTCGCATGCCACAAATGAACTATCAATTGCATACGTTATCCATGGATTTATTCCTTGTTTATAACATAATTCAAAAAATATGCGAAAAATAAGAATAAAGAACAAACAAAAAGAAAAACAGTTTGTCGTAGGGATTAGCACTATATAAAAAAAAAAGAACACAGACATCGAAAATACATACAGAAATATATTGAAAATAGCTTTACAAAAAAAGGAAAAACATTCAAATCACACATCTTCTTTATGTCTTCTTGCTGATTTAAGTGCAACAAATTCTCTTGCTAATTCATCATTTGTTCTATGTGATAAGATTCGTAAGATTGTTAAACCAGTATCATCAAAATTAATTCTTGAACCTAAGGGTACCCATGATGACCATGAACCTTGTTCGCCAACTTGTGTTAATTTAATTACATTTAAACCAATTAAACGATCTTCACGCATAACAAAATAATCTTTTACAGCAATGTTTAATTCATAACAATCTGGTTCTTCTTCATTGCCCAATAAACTAAAAGAATATTTTAATTTTTATTAATCAAAAAAGAATGAAAATAAATGACTTACAAATGAAATGTTTCATTATATTTTGGTATCCATGTATTACTTTTTGTTTTAGTTGTATGTTTACGTTTTTTATCACTTAAATGAGGACCACACATAGCTAATTCAACATATGGACGAAACATTCCAGTTGTACGCCATTTAAGACCATTTGCAGCCACAACTAAATTAGAAATATTTGAAAATAAGCCGTAGAATTAATAGTTCTTCATACCTTTTACAGTAACTTTATGTTCACCACTACCTGGATGAGTAAATAAGTCAACTTGTATTGATACTTCACCAAAAGATTCTTCTAATGCTGGTCGATCTTAAAAAAAATGTTTCTTTTCGAATCTAAATAGACAAAAAAAAAATTCTTATTTTACCTTGTTCTTTTTCAGTTTGTACAAATGTTTTAATTAATGAATCTGTTGTTTGTGTATATAATGAAAGTGCATATTTAAGTGATTGTAATTCTAAAGTTTTTTCTAAATAATTCTTCTTTAAACCTTGTCCAGATGCATGAAAGAATTCTTTTAAATCTTCTAGACCACGATCTAATATTTGACATTGTTTTTGAGTTAAACTTCGATCATTATCTCGACCTAATTCCTATTTAAAAAGAAACGAGTTTATAGTTTTATTTTGTTTAAAGAAATACATACTCCTGATAAAAGTCGATAGGCATCTTCGATTTTTGCTGCTGGAATTGTTAATAGATTTTTTGAATCTGCAAACGGTGGTAAAACAATAACTTTTTCTAAATCACTGATTACTGCTTTCCATAATTCCTTAAGAAGACGTTTAAGTACAGTCTTTTCACATTGATTTGCAAAGAATGTTAGTCTAAAAATAAATAACATCAAAAGTTAAAAAATCCTATTTCAATAGATACATGATTTAAAAGAAATCTGAAAGATAAATAAAAATAATTTTCTTACCGTTGATCAAGATAATCTAATAATGGTTTGGTAACAAGCATAGCTTCAGCACCTTTTTGTTGTCCACCATTATTTCCAGCTCCAATTTGATTTCCTTTAATTTGTTGTAATTGTTTATAAACTTCTTCAATCGATTGTCTTATAGTTGGTTCAATACTCTTAACAAATGTTGCACTTAATTCATCAAGAACATCACTTAATTGTTTTTGTAATTCGTTAAGTCCAGATTTCGTATCTTCATCTAACTGTGCTCCACCCATTAATTCATATAATTGTTCTAAATTTAATCTTAATTGTTGAATATTATTCATTAATATCGAACAAATATGATCTTGTCCTCCAACATGTTCAAATGTTCGTCGTATTGCATTTGCATAACCTAGTAATACTTGAGAAATCGTTATCGAAAAACGTCGCATATATGTCGCTATAACTAATGGATCATGAAGATCAAGAGTTTTTATTATTCCATGACATTGATTCAATTGTGTAAAGACATCAACAACAGATGATGAAAATAGACAATGCTCAGATGTTTGTTGAAACTAATGAAAATTAATAAAAATAAATTTCGTATTTAGATTATCTTAAGAAATAATTTACTCCAGTTTGTCGATCTTTTTCAACAGCATTATGAAGATATTCCATAGACATATCGTCATTTTCATTAAGCCATTGTATTACAAATGGTTCGAACCATCTTTAAAATTAAAATAGAGAAAAAAATCATAGATTTTGTTATTTAAATTGTCATGCTATTCATGCTCGCGCGCAGGCAGATAAATATGATCCTTTCAAATTATTACCGTTTAAATTCTTTAGGAGTGTAAGTACTGTATTTATTATTTAAGAGATTTTGTTATGCAAAAAAAAAGACGAAAATAATAACTTACTTAGGATATTCAGGAACAGTATTTTTTGCTTCTGGAATTACTCGAACTAATGTATCATAGAATCGTTTGATCATAAAATGAAGATTCATATAATCAGCACTTTTTATTTCTCGTCGCTCAACTTGAATTCGAGCATGTTCTAAAAAGAAATACATATTTATTATCTTGTTCATATTATTATTGTTTAACAAGGTATAGCTCTAATGGTGATTTTTTATAGGATACATTATTTTTTCATTGTCTAATCTTAGTATTTATTATTGATATACACTCACCTTCTAAATGATCTTTAAGATCAGTTGATAATAATTTCCATAATGTATCTGCACTGATATGTCCAACATTAAGTTCCGATGGAAATCTAAATAAATAATTATAATATTATATGAATAAATAATAAAAATAAAAGAAACATACTGATTTAATACTAAACTGTATCGTTCACGATCTTCGGAAATAATACAGGTTAATAGATACATAAAATGATGCCAAAATTGTAAACTTTTAAGACTTGGTACAACAACGTTTGTTGTTGTTCCTTGTGAATTCTCTTCATTCTGTTCAGTATTATTATTTTCTAATGCATTTGCTTGTGTTTTCGATTCTCGTTTATAGACTTCATCACAATTAGCAAATAAGAAATTATATGTATGACGAATACAATTTTTAACACAATCTTTAACAACAGCAGATGCACGAGGTGGAGAACTTAATTCTTGAACCTAAACAAAAAAATTCCATGAAGAATTTCGATTTATTTTAAAAAAAAAGATAAACTGTAATCAAATCATGCTAGAGAAAATCAAATCCATGCTCAAACTTACTTCATTGTTAAGTAATAATCGAAAAGGAATAACTCTCGCAAACTAAGAAATATTTAGATTATTCTAACATTTGTTTTCATTTTTTTTATTGTTAAATTTTATAGTAATATTGATATTTATAATAAAACAAATTTTTTTACCTTCATACGAAAGAATGTTATTGATGTAAGAAGATCAACAGTAGATTTCAAATCTTGCATTCGATCTGCACTTGATGATGGAAAATTATTCTAAAGATTTTTATAAAAATCAATTTAAAAAAAAACGTTTTCTCGATAAAATACATACTCGATACATTGATAAATCAATACGAATTGAATTATGTAATTGATCAAGTAATTTGATAAATTTATCTTTCTAAAAAAGAAAAACATTTCTTAATTTAGTCTTTTCTTTTACATTAGTCTAAGTTATGATGCTAGACGAAACTTCATTCATATTTTAGAATTGAATTCTTTTGAGTAATTCTGGTAAGATCTCTTATTTTTATTCAGTAATAACTTACTCCAAAATTCGATGCTGCAAATTGATCGGCTGCTGATACTGCAGTTGTTGCTGTAGTATGTGCATAGTAAGCATTAATATTTGCTAGAAGCGTACTCATTACAGCTGGAACACCAGGACACATATATTTCGTTGATAGACATGCAAAATGCCTAATATACAAAAAAAAGACATGTCTTCTATATAATTTGATTATAAATTATTAAATAAACATACGTCATAGCTTGATAAATTGATTCAATACCATAACGTATTGCAAATTCATTAACAATTTCTTGAGAAGGTTCATCAAAATATACTTTCCATGCATCATCCTTAATATTAAAAAATAAAATAAAATTTATATTTTTTTTCTTATTTATTTACTCCTTTTGCTTCAGGAATAATTGGTTGACCATTAGTATTATTTTCACATAAAGTATAAAATAAATTTTCATGTAAACAAGTATATTGTGCATGATATGGAGCTACTTTCTCTTCTCCTTTTATTTCAACTGAAATATGAAGACGTATAGCACCAGAAACAGCTGATTTATCTGTTCGTTTTTCTAAATTATACCAAACATCCATTTCACCCGATAATGTTCGAACTTCAATTATTGTTTGTCCAAGAAAATCATCGGATTCGCGTGTTAATTTTTGCATTAATTTTGCTCGTATATCATCATCTTCATCCCTAAATTAATTTTTAGATAAAATAATTCTTTAACATATACTTATATATGAATTTTCAACTTACCATACTCGAACTTTAATTCGATCACATGAATTATGACATTCACTAAATATAAAAAAAACAATTTAAATGAAAAAAGCTTTTTTTTATTTATTTAAATAAATTTACAAAAAGAATTTTTCATTCCATGATGGATTTAGTTCTGAATAAACAGTTTTCGTTCGTTTTTTAACTTTTCCTACTTGAACTGTAACATATGGATCAGATGTACCAGATTTATCTTTAGCTATTAAACCTTGAGCACTTATCACTAGAAGAAAAAAAAGTCAATGAAGTTTTTTTTCTTTATTAAATATGTTTATTTACCAGTGATTGCCAATTTGGCTGACCATTTTGATGTACCATCAAGCACACTTTGTTTAACAGCTTTCATATGACCAACATGAGATATTTCATCAACATTAAATACATCCCTGAGAAAAGAAAAACTTGTTATTATTGTTTTTCCTTTATTGCGAAGAGATTTTACCTAATTGTTTTAAATAAATGTGGTCGTGTACTTTCCCTGAGTGTCATCTTTTCATGCATAGCTGCCATTAAATTGTTTGCTTTATCATCAGCACCATGTTTGGCATTTTTCTGGGCTCGACCTATTTAGAAAACAACAGAAAAAAGTGAATTCATATTTTCTTCAGAATTAATAAAAAACATTAGACAAAATTAGTATATACGATTACGTAGCACATACGTATATATTATTGTCTCAGATTAGCCAGCGTGCATTATTGAAAGCATAGTGTTAGGGGACAAGCAAAATGAAAACATGTGAATGCAAAAAAAAAAGTTCATATTAGTTCTAAACTTCTGCATACGTTTCTCCTCCATTGAAATATAAGTAATCTCATCTTCATCTTCATCAGGATAGAATACATGAGATAATGATACTAGAAAACATATATATTATTTACAATACACACAACAATAATATTATGTTAAAGATGAAAAAAAACATCTTTTACATAAAACAACAACATTTATTTTTTTTCACAATAAAAGATTTTTTTACTTACGTTGAAGACAATCAGCATTGAGAAGATCTTTACATTTTTCATGACATTTAACTCCACATTCTCGACATTTTAAACCTTGTCTTGCTATACCCCATAATAAACCTTCACATTCATAACAATATGTTGGATGTGCAAATGAACAAAATTCAAAATCATGTGGAGTTGTTAATGATATTGGATAAATTAATGCTTGTAAAGTTTTTTTATATACATGTGTACGCTAAAATTATAACACAGAATTTTTTTTATAAGAATAAATTTCTTAAGATTATTTACAAGTTCTTCATCATTTAAGTTATGTCGTCCAGTCGCAGTTGGAACACCTGCTAATCGTTTAGCCACTGATATACCCTTAAAGAAAAAAAGAAATTTTCTAGATACAAATCAAATCGATTTCAATTTTATTTACCATATCAAGACCCAATGGAACGGGTTTGGCATCAGGAATATCGGGTGCACTATCGATACAATTATAAAATGCATTATTTGTATGTTGATCACCAGACAGATTACTAAAATAAAATAATATAGATTTTATATCTTATTAAATATTCATTCAATTAAAAATATCCAAAGAACCACTTACGATCTATAATATATAGGAGTTCCAACCATTTCTTATGTTACAAAAAAATTTACGAAACGTTTTTTTTTGTCTATAGAACTTAATATATCTATATTTATCAACCAATATTAAAAATAGAAAATAGCGAGACGAATTATTTATTTATTTTTTTCTATATGTGATGATAATATATATGTTAATTTGAGGGAGAAGATGAATAAATAACTTTTCATAGAAATAAGATAGAAAATTACACAAAAGAAGATGAAGACGTATTGAATCAGATATGACATACTTTACTTATTTGGCTATTTTTAAGGTTTCAAAGTAATCTTTTTGAGATCATATTTATTATGTCAGTTTTTTACTGCATATTCAAATGATGAATTAAAAAATAGATAAAACTGTATTAGTTTCCGATCTTTATATCAAAGCATTTGCTTTCTTCTCCGGATCAGCATCTTTATCATAATGACATATTATAATTTAAAGATCTCACTGACATTAGTTGATGAAGAATGAAATACTATCGAGGATTCGATGATCCATCAGAAATAATTTATGTAGACTTCTTCTACGAAAGATGATGTACCATTACTACGTAGTAGTATTAAATTGGCTAGTCTATCGGTGATTGATATCTTTTTTTTCTATGATATGACCCGATTCTCTTTCCATCGTTGATAAAAATTAGTCAAATAAAGACTTATGAAACGATAAATTTGATTCATTAATTATTAATGTATATAGCAATATGTGATTAAATATGGGTTATTTATCGGTGCAAAATATAGAGAAAAAAAAGCAATTATAGTTAAATATTGGTATGATTATATCATGGAATAAATAAGATCGTTTTGATTCTCAAAGGATTTTCAAAAGAGTCATAAACTCTTTTTCTTTAAGAACATTAGAACATAAAGAATAGAAAAAAAATTAGTTGGTTTTACTTCTAAACCTAAAAAAACATTCTAATAACCAATAGAGAAAAAAAGCTGTCGACTGATAAGAAATCCCATTATACTAGGCACTATATGTCATCAGATATATAAAGTGTTTTTATCCTATATTCTCACTGACAATCTAAGTAGCAGCAAGGTCAAATAGTAAAATAGAAATGTATCGTATGATAAAATAAATCACTTTAAAAACATTTAACATACTTTCCATTAGCATCAATATTTGCATTTGAATTATTATTAAGATTATTAATTCCTGGTAAAAGTCTTCTTGTAACTGGCTGTCCATCTGCATCAACTGCTGCAGAGAGTTGTCGTACTCGCGTTACTGCATCAGCAAATCGTGATTGAGGATTCTATAATGAATAAAATAGATAAGTATAAATATATTTATTAGAATTATTAAAATAATAATTTTTATAAATAGAAAACTTACATCTTCATTATCTGTTAAAGATATTTCATCAAATTCATCATTAAAATCTTTCTGATTAGATGAAAAACGAAATTTTTGACTAAATCGTTTAACATATGAACTTAAATTTAAATGTCGATGAATATCTTCATCAGATGAATAAATATACCCATCAGGTATAAATAGAGGACAACATACATAATGCATATCCTTAGATCTTTCTTATTCATATGAAAAGATATTTTCTTAGAGTATCATCTTATCTATTTCCTAGTATTTTCCAAAACAACAGAATACATAAAAGAAAAAAAAAGCCTAATAGAACTTGTTTTTTTTATATATAGTATATAGTCTTCTTCTTATTTGGCATTATTTATGTCACGCAATAAAATATTATGATTATTAATACAATTCTATTTTTTTTAAGAGTTTGACTATAGAAATAATTTCTTTTACAGAAATTTTGTTTTTTTTCAATGACCTTTTTAAATCTATTAATCATATATAAAAAAAATTATAACACTATCGACAATTTTTTCTAGATAATATTTGTCAACATCATAAATAAGACCTTATAATATCTATCTAGTTCGAAAATGATTGATGATACAAAATAGAATCTATGACATATCTAGGCTTTAATTTTATGCTTCAATAAACATATTAATCAATTGAACAATTAAAAATTCTATTTTATTTCATATCTCTATTATCATCATCATCATCAATGAAAAACAAAGCAATAAATTTCATTTAAAATGAAATATGATTGTAAATCATTTGTTAAGAAATATAATTCTATTAATAAGAAACTATAAATGCAATTTAACAGATCTAGGAAAAGAAATTCTATCATATTTCATATGATTGACTATCAATTAGACTTTCTCATATTCTTTTTGGTAACATTTCATCAATTATTAATTTATCAATATTAATGCGCATGTCTATGTCTTTAAATACAAAAAAGGAAAAGAATCGTTATATATATTATTCTTCAATAATATCATAAGTTTCAATTGTTTCTTCAGTTATAATTGGCATTGGTGTTGGTTTTGTTGGTTGTATTGTTTGTAAAACAAATGAACAAACTTTTTCACGTAATTTCGCCATATATAAACGTATCATTGCTAATCGTGATAAACGTGAAAAATTTAAACTTGTTTTTGTATCAAATAAATATGGTTCTTGTGATAGATCCATTGATTGAGGTAAATGACTATAGGATGTTCTATGATTGGCTTTTGTTAAAAGAAGTGCACGTGGTGTTGCATGTTTTAAAAATGTCCATTCAATCGATGTTATATCCATTAATGATAGATGTTTTGATAAAAGTAAAGTTTGTTCCGGAATTTTTAGATTTAAATCTGGTAAACTTCGATGAAATGGACGTTTTATTATTATTTGATTTTCATATAATGATTCAACATCAAATGCTATTTTAGGTGATACAAAATTATTTTTAAGAAATTCTTCTATTGTAAAATCATAATTTGCCATTGGAGTTAATATATCACTTATAAGTGATGATTGTCGTGATAGAGTATTATTACGTCCACTACCACCTATTTGTGATGACATATCAAATTCAAGAAAACGATTACGTAAAATTTCAGCCATTTCATTTACATCATAGGTTGATAATGCATCTGATTCAGGTAAATTACGTGAAAAATCTGATTTATCCCATTCTAAATCATCACCATAGAGACTTTCTCCAACTCCTGATGATGTTGCTGTTGTTGAACGACGACGAAATAATTTCGTTACGGAATTTGATCGTGAACCAGGATTTGAATACATTATTTCCATATATTATGTTTGTAACAGCAGGGAATCGAGTATTTATCAAACGAATTGAGAAAAAAAAGAAAACGAGAGAACAAAACAAAAAAAAAAAAAAAAGTTTTTTTTCTACTCGTTTTCTTTCATTATTATTAAAGAAGACACAAAAAAATATATAGAGAAAAGCGGCAGCTGCTACAAAACATAGTCCATCAGCGTTTGATGATTTATCAAACGACAAAAAAAAAACTTAATTATTGAAGTATATTCATTCGCATGTTGAATGATACATCAACAAGAAAATCATACTGACACAGCTGTAGATGTGTCATTGTATGATCAAAAAAAGATTTCTTTAAATAGAAACGAAACGTTTTCATCGACATTGATGAATCAAATATTAGCACAAATTATTAATATTTAACATAAATTTTCAATATTTTTTTCTTAACGAGTTTAATAAGTGCATGAGAAATGTTGTGTAATATAGCACGTGTTCCTATTATGACTTAGACAATCGAACAGGCTTTTACACACATGCGTAATACTATTAAAAAAATATATCGATGCCTCGATGTTACAGGATGCAGATGACAAATAGTTATTTTAAGAAATTATAGAGACCTCGAAATGAACTATGACTATTACAATCTTTTTTTTGTTCCCTATGATTATAAGTATATTTCTATTAGAATCAAGTCTAGCCGAACAAGTGAGTTATTAAACCTAATCAATTAATTATTCTATTTCTTTCTATTAAAATCAATTCCCATATCAGATGATGAGATAATCAAAAATTCGTTGTTTTTCAATAATAGACAAACAAAATCTCAA